AAAAAAAAACGAAAAAAAACTATGTTATGCAGAAAAATAAACTGAACAACTTTTGCCTCAGGGTCACATCGAAATTCTTCACCAAATTTAGAAAAAAAAAAAATTATAAAAATAATTATAAAAATAATTCTTTTATTTTTATTATTTTTATTCTTTTTGGCCTGGCCGGGCAAGTGACCCCGGGCCACTCTGGGAGCCTAGGTGGCAATTCGTTTTTTTGTTCAAAAAAAAAAGACAAGATCGGTTACGACCGCTGCCGTACCGAAGCCAGGGTTCACTTGTTGGGTGGATTTTTTGTATCTGGTCCATAGATTATGATCGACGGCTAGAATCACGAAACCCATGTTAGAGGGAGCTTGTCCTGGTGTGTGCAACTTCGTGGTCTCTCACCGTTGGTCGACCTTTTGGTGACCCAATTTTTTTTTTTTTCGCTTTTTCTAATTTGGACCATTTCTCGATTTATGCGTGTCATCCTTGCGCAGGGGCGTTGCTAATCTTCTTTTTTTCCCAAAAAAAAAAAAAAAAAAGGAACTTCTCGTTCTCTCTGTATCGTTCCAATTTGAACGGATGTCCCGAAGGACTGGTGACCTCTTTTTTGCGACAGACAGACGACTGAGTGCCTTACTACAAATGTATGATGGGGCCAATGGGGTCTCGATCCACTACTCACAGCGTATGCAATATGGCGCGGTGTATCTTTCCATTTTCTAGCCGAAGATTCATTCTCATTTTAAACATTTGATGAGTGGTGGACCGAGGCCAGACGGTGGTCCTGATACATTCAAAATGATTGTTGGATGAATCAGAATATTGTCTACCGGTAGTGGGCGGAGTCAGGGCATACTAGTGCTATTGCTTTTTAGACTGCGCTCCGGACGTAAATGTGGTCAGATTCATCCAGGTCAGGCTCTATTTCCGGTCAGATGCATCCAAAAAGCTTGGAGTAATACTGTCAGCTAAGGGATCGAATGTAAGACATCGTGAATGTCGTCTTTTTTTTTTTCTTTTTTTTTTGTTGGGAAATTTCGTGCCCGATT